GAAAGCTGTTAGTTGTACCACTTGCCATGTGCATAGCTCGAACGACAAATCTCAAATTGGACTCCGTCCAAGCTAATTGGCCGTACCATCCCTTCAGTGTTGATTCACTGAAACCGGGCTTGTTTGAGAGGTAGTAAACGTCTTTTTGTTTGGGAGGTTGCAAACCCATATAGGCTGAATCAAATATCACCACGATCATTAAGGGAGGTAGATTTCATGGCGCATCCTGAGATGTCCAAAAAACATCGAACTCTCTATTCTTCATTATTTTTTGTTCGCTTTGGAGAGGAGCATGCTGTGAATCATCATTGATATTTCAGGTATCCTTGTTGCGAAAGCCCATTCATAGATATAACCTATGAAATCCATTTGAGGCGGAAAACGCTCTTCTATACTGTGAATCTTATATTTCCCTCAGTAGGTATAAGGTACGTTTTTCCTCTTTTCATTGCGAATTTTTCATAACATTTCGCGCTCATCGTATGGGCGGAGACAGAGGACCAGCCCATCGGCACATTCCTCTTTCTAGTAATGAAAGCACAATGCATTGGCCTGTCTCCACCCATAACATCAGCACGGACTGTGCCTTTAGGCTTTCCTTGGTGGTTCAAAAGTCAGCGTCAATTTCAGTTTTCTAACGGCTCTCGTATTCTATCTACCGTCGGATGGAGGCGAAAAGATATCACTCTGTATATCTATCCTTATTTCTCTCACTGTATTCTTTTTGTTGTTGGGTAAGCAAGGGTTTTCTCAACTGAATTCAATTTTTTTCGGCTTTTTTTCTGCATGTTAAAATAAGTTGAATTTTAGTTGAGATCATTCCGTCGACATCTCTCGTCATACCTTTGATAGGCAAATACCTTCTCTTTACCATGGTCTTGGTCACTCTGAGTGTCGTCGTCACGGTGGTCACGCTGGTAAGTTTGCCTCTGTTGTTTGGCATTGCATTACTTGACTTCTTGTTTCTGCGCCGCCCCCTCATTTCACCCGTGACGTTAGGTCCGATATGTAGAATGTAACGAATATGTGCCTGGAAACCTCCAGAACTTCGTGGAGTTGTCACAACTATGCAGTACGCAAGGCAAATCCCGTATCGGCTCGTGCCCAGACCAACCAGGCTTTCTACCCTTCCGGGGACGGTAAATTGGTGTGTCATCCATCGACGAGGATAAGAACACTGAATTTTATATTGGCTAGACCCCGCAACTATTAGTTCTATAGTTAGTATCGAATTCAGAATGCACGAAAAATCCCTAAAAAACGGATCAACGCGCAAACGTTTTATCCTTTGAGCGGATTCTTTAGTCCCAAGTATGCGATCCCGGATGGCCCTTCCAGCGAGGATAGTAGGCCGCTCAATAGGATTCCAATAAAGGTCCCGAAGTGAACGCAACTATTTGTCGTTAAGGTTAGTAGGCTTCTGCGTGGATGCCGCGCACGAGACGAATTCCCCCCATAATATGATTCCTCGTTGTACGCTTTGAGCGCACATTCAGCGGCATCATGTTCGATGCCGTCATCGCGAAGTCTGAACGCAGTCTTAACTTTCAATCGCCCAATGGGCCGTTATTGCCGCCAAAAAGGACCTCCTGACCCACCTGATACCCAGCGACGGCACTTCTGAACTTGTCCATAGCAGCGCGATGTGCGCCAGCAACTGTTCGAACCTACTGGCTCGGAGAAAGGCACAGAATGAGAGCAATGAAGCAGGGAGTTTATACAGGGCATATTAAGAACTGCTTCGGCTACTAGACCTTTGTAGCTCACACTTAATATTATTTTTTCCAGTATCTAGGGAGTAACAGCATCAGTATTTGATAAGTTTCAAAGTTTAATTGTTAAGATTGTATTTATGTTTTAATTTCTGCAGAATGTCCACTACATCGCCGGACGACACATAACATGCGGAGTGTGTTCGATGCGTTTTTTCAATTGAGATTCTCCCGAAATATCTTCTGATGAAACGACCGCCTCGACCACACCACAAGGTTTGAATCGAAGGCTGATTCTTATTGATTTATTGACAACTTACTGATTTTTTCCTCTTACTTTAGAAGAAGGAGCCGCGAACGACATTCAGCACACCGCAGGGTAATGCTACCGGAATGTCCGATCACGTCAGTTTTTTTGATTGAACTACAGTTGGTACCGTCTCAGTTCGCGGGTGGGGGGAGGGGGACATGTGTCGACAGGCGTTGCCTATGAGGCACCACTCATGGCAGGTTTTCCTACACATATGTGACGGTTCACTGAGAAAAGCAACGCAGGATAGAGAAGCGCCAGGGGTGGATTAATTCCACGCTTCCTGACACCGCCCCCACCCCCCCCCCCGGAATGAGACGGTATCTGCTATGTTTTGATTCGATTGAGGCTCTGCAAATGGCAGCTTTTTTACAGAATCTCGGTCTCCTCTCACCATTTCCAACTTCGTTTGCTGCGGCGGGATCTGCCGAAGACACATCATACTCATCATTTCAACGGTATGCTTCCAATTTTTACTTATCTTCAATAATCTGCCCAGAATTTATTCTATATATTTCATCGTTTTGGACCATGCCCTCAAGGCGCTTAGGATAAGCGCAAAGTCTCACACACAGTGCACATCTGAGGGTAGTGCCGGGCTTCCCAGGGACAGCTCTAGATTCGCATGCCGACTCTCCTCCTTAGCATGCGTCTCTGCCTCTTTTCCGCCTGGATCCTTCGCGGGCGTCACAGCTGCGCCCCGCAGTCCGCTCAGTTATGCACTGTACATATAATATTGGTCCTCTTTCTTTCAGTGGGTTTTGTGGCGCTCTAAGAGACTTCTGGGCAAAAGAGTCCATTCACAGAGTTTGCAGATGTAACAGTTAACTTCTTTCGTTGACTGAATTCAAAATAGCCTATTCTGACACTAGCGTCATTCTTTCATTTTTTGTCACCTCACTGCTTTCCAAAATTGAATTTGTAGGAACTGAGCATGACGTCTTCGACCATATTTACATGAATTCTTAGAAAATTTATTATGCCAAGTTCGATTTCGGGTTTACCACATTTGCCTGCCGCTTTTCGAGGTCCAGGTCGGAATAAGACTGGGGTTTTCGCTACATTTTCTCCAAAATTTTGTCTACGAGGTAGATCGACCACCTAAACGGCACAAACACTTGCAACGAAAACGCTCAGGTGTCTCGCCCACAGGCTCTGGCTTCAATGCCCACCACGCACGTGTTCAGGGAGCCAAACTGTTGGAACACGCATTATATGAGCGCCATAACTCATTATTCTCGAAAAGCGTGGCTTCAGCATTCAAATGGGCTAAGCCAAAGCAGCGAACTTAGTACATCCTCCACCCTTGTCGACAAAGCTACGACATCCAAGGAGGGCGTAGGAACATCAAATGAAGGCGGGAGCTACCTTTAAGCATACTTGCTTTATTGATGTTGAGGGTGTAATTACCTGCGGTGTTTCGACTACAGTAATCATTTGTTGCCTTTGAATTACTAATCTGAACGATTTTCTAGGGATGTTTCTCCTGTGAGATCAGCCGTGGAAAGTGTTGCGTACATAGCAGATCACCTAAAAAATGAAGAAGATGATAAACAGGTGAGCAGACTATTATACATTCTTACTATTATATGTTATTTTTTACAAATTACATGTCTTATCTCTCTCTCATTCAACTACCTACGCCGTCAAGCTCAGTTCTCAATATTCCCGTTTTCCTGCGCTGCTCCAGATGCGTTTTGAGGACTTTTATCCTCGGCTTCGTCTACTTGGGCGCAGGCCCCGCCCATTATGGGCGGAGCCTAAATTATTTTGCATGTGCTCTGTAAATTTGGCCCGTGCCACATCCATCCCAAGATTCGGTTCGTCCCTAAAAGTGACTTTCCACACAGTCCCCAATTTTCGAGCGGTCACGCAGACAGACATACAGCCACACATACAACTTATGGTTTATATTATAGAGAGATAGCCGCTAGCAATCTTTGGGTGGCCACATTTGTGGATTTTTTTTGGTGTTTTTTTTGTCTTTTTTTTTTTTCTTTGGTCATTACACGTCTCACCCTGCAGGTCCAGTTGATTCCCCTCAAGTATGCTGTAAACTCCTGTCAAGTTCAGCAAGATGGTACTAGCGTCGTCGGAACTCTAAAGCTGCGTTCATAGTTTGCCGCAGCGTCCACCAGCGACCATCAGCGTCCCAAGGGACTAGGGAAGCATGGATACGATCGTAGGTCTATCAGCGTCCACCCGCGGCGTCGCACCAGCGAGTACTCGCGTAACTGCGTGTCAGTATGGTGGGCGGTATTGCACACGCTAGAGAGATCACTGCGAATAATCCAGGCTCTTGCTGCCCCCCTCCCTCCCACTTCCCTCATACTCTACCACAGTCTCCTACCCTCCTACTTCTCCATACTCTCTTCTCCTGATCGCTCGTGGACGCTGCAGCAGACTATGAACGCAGCCTAATTTTTATTGTTTTGCAAATTTTTGACCAACCATTATGACAAGTTTGACAGAAGCTTACAATTTGCTTACAGGTGATAACAAGGCTCACAGGGTATTGACAAGGTTGTCCGGTACTCACATCCTATGCGTACATACGTTTACAGGTGTCCTCCCCATCCCAAGGATAATAGCGTCCCTTTATATATTATTGCTACTATATATTATTACTGTTACGTCCACTGTCTATTGTACTTACCGGCACTATTACATACTATCATCGACTACCACTTACTATTATTCCATACAATTTCTTTTTTTCAGGTCATCGAAGATTGGAAATATGTCTCAGTGGTGATGGATCGGGTATTTCTTTTGGTGTTCACATTCGCTTGTGCGTTCGGTACGATAGTGATCATCGCACGAGCGCCTTCAATCTATGATACTACGGTACCTCTGGCGTAGTGCTATCGGATCTCTTGTCCTGCTACGTGTCATCGATGCTGACCAGAATCCGAGCGCAGCCGAAATTCGATCGACTTTTGCCTTTCATTGTTCAGTTACACTAGGGTTTTGTCCACGGGTTTATCATAATCTGCCAATGTATCACATCTTATCGCCCCCTCCTTCCAACATGAGCTGTTTTCTCAACACCGCATACAATGTTCCGTTCGTCCACTCAGTCCCTCAGTCGGTCCTACGATTGCGATCAATAAAATCAATCGATCGATATGATCGTTCTCGACGGCCCGCAACACGAGGTGTTCTGTGTATTTTCTTCGCTGATCGCTGTCAATGCGACTTCGATAACTCCTCTCACTGCCAACACATTCGTTGCCTTGACGTCTATCCCTCTTCTTTTTGCGATTCCCTCCCCCGGTTTTAGGCTTTTATTTTTCATCGAATTTGCTCAATTTTGTTCTCTTTCGCCCCGAAAATCTAAGAAACAATCCATTTGCGACCTTTATCTATTACTATTTTTTATCTCTCTTTGTTCGTGGTCAACTAGGGAACTATTTGTTCAGGATCTGTCTACTATCTATTTTCTTCCTTTCAAATATTTGTTGTATCGGTAGTGCTCTTTTGCGTAGATTACTAGGTGCACACATTCATATCGTCGCGTGATCGGACCTAACGTCATCCATCCGTCGGCATTCTTTGTTTAATGTTTGTACAAAATGATTTGTTACAGCAGAGAAAAAATATGAATAAAAATCATTCTCATAAATGGACTGTATGACACCTCTGTAGTTCAGCAGGTACAGCATCCGACGAGGGCGGCGAAACAATCGTCGGAAATGGCGTCACGCGCGACATTCGCACCAAACAGATTCAACACGAAGGTGCTGTAGTGGGTTGTGTCAACTAGCTAAGAAATACCACTCGTTTGCTTGCGATGCCACGACTTGAAACTCCTGATCTTCTTATGTTTGCCACTGTAAGGGGGACATGGTGGACGCACTTCATCCCTACGTTCCATGTGGGCGAGTTTGTTGAGGAAAAACCCATGGGAAACTGAATAGGTGGGGAACTCACAACCACTGCGCTTTTTTACTGTGCTCCTAAGGTGAATAGGCATGCAACGAATTACACCCTCTTGTCGAAAAGCACTCTGATGCGCAGTCTTGTTCGCTTTGGTTGGTGGGACGTGTCAGGGAGCAGAGTTTGACGTGGCGCCAGCCCGTTTTCCACCTAATGGTATCGCTTGCCCACTTCAGCGATTGGCAGGGAACGAGCTGGCGGCGCGCCAAACCCAAGCCCCTGACACGCTTCAGTGTCTACAGCTAAAACGATTGTATGTGATCTCTCTAATTTCAGTTGCTAGTACCGGGGTGATGTTTCCAAAGCGCACTTTTCTTTAGAGGTATTGGGTTGAATCATAAGTAATGGCGTTTTTTCCTCACTCGAAATTTCACGCTGAGTATGAAAGCTTTGCTTTTATACCGTCTTGTAGAGAATTCTTTGATCTACAAGTTAGTCCTCTTAGGTTTTAAAGGCAGTTGGCACGATAAATCCCCCAAGACGAGTAGGATTAATACGCCTGGCAGGACGGAATTCCGCGACCCTGAGCAGGCGCTGCATAATGCCTTTTCCAAGGAAGGTGCCCTTATAAGGGCCCTATCAAGCCACAACATTCCGACCCAAACGCCCGCCCGCCCACAAATGGACGACCGTTCCAGACGCTCGTTTTTTTAGATTCATTTGCTAAGCAAATTATGAAGCGAAGGGATTGGTATGAAGCGGCCGTGATGCTGCATGGATATATGAGTACACATATGCAGCCGTACCTTCGGTAGCGGTTATTGGCAAGATGCCTACGGGAAACTCGTCCAAAATTGATTTTGAACACATTGAGAACGGAGGCTCTTTCTTCGCAGGATTTTGACCGTTTCACTCCGTTCTTTCGCCATTTCCCCACTATATAGCGCCCTACTAGCATTTTAGGCCGAGCACCAAATCATCGTGTCAACAATGAAAAAGGGAAGACTTAATGAGAAGAAACGTCTTTCAAACAGTCCGCATACTACGGTAACCAAAGAGTTTCGATCCTAAAAAAAGAGGATGCTATCTGAAATTTGAAGAGCGCATAAAAACTTCGGTTTCCTAGGTAACGACTACATGAGACATCTTGAGGAGTTTACAGTCTGCTTCGCTGGGGAGACGGGCAAGAGAATCGTAAATCGCTGCTTCGTCGCGCGCGGCAATGGGCGCGACGTTTCCTTAATTTGCACTACCCTTTCGATTGGAGCATCGGATTTCATGTAGACAAGGACATGGTAGACACTATGTATATCTTTGATCACATTGTCTATTTATTCAATACCACCTGAATCGTCCTCATTGGCAGGCGCGACGTCGCACGCGACGCCCGCTGGCGCGGCGAATTACGATTCTCTTGCCACCTACGCGGTTCGCTGCGGATACTTTGCCGTATCAGTGAGGATGGGCAGAGTGCGCCGCCAACCCGATCTCCTCCAGTTGTTGAGGAGGGTAAGCTGCATCAACTGGTGGAAAATGACTCATACGAACGATGTGACGCAGACTTGCCCCTTGCGTAAAAAGAAAAAACGGATTGGCACCGCACCAAACGCAGCCGCGCTGACACGCCCCATTATCCGCAGCGGACAGGACTGTACAATAATGCTGCATGCTCTATCAAAGCCATTATAAGAACCTACGGGCCAGTACTCTAGACATGGAGACTTTCAACAATTTTGGATCAGAGGCCGCAATAAGCAGAATATAATCGGACCACGCAATCTCCGCAGTCATTTGAAGAACTTGCCTTGCTACATGTGATTATCAAGATTCTCTCAATAAAATCCGAAACAAACCTCGATTTCCACGGGCTGCTGTAAGAGGTGGAAGATGAAGTCGTATATCATGATCAGCTGACGCAAGACGGAAACCATCGTCGTCGACCTTAACAGTAAAACGTTACCTGAGAGAATGTGCGATGGCGCGATTTCATCCTCCAAGCGTTGTGTACTTACTACAACCCCGAAACCTTACAGATAACAGCAGTTCAATTTTTGCGGAAAAATTCTAACATAAGTTGAATATTCTTCCAAAAGCTTTAATTTTGGAAAAGACTTTAGAAGGATCTAGAAGGCGGGAAAAATAGATGTTACGGCATTTCAGGGAGAAAAGCGGAGGCAGGAACCATTTTCTCAGCACAGACCCCTCTTAGTTACTATGTACTGTGTGTTCTCTTCTCTGAGCTTACAGGGTAGGGGTTCAGGGCTCATTCCAAATGGGCAGGAAAAAAAAACGAGGAAGAGTGTCAGGTTCAGGTAAAATAGAGGAAGGAAACGGAAAACCTAATACTACCCTATCATGACCTGATATAAAATTGAGATTCAAACCTCATGATCAGGTCTCCTGCCATTCTCCTTGTTCTCTAATCCTGAACCACCGTTGCTTAATGCATGGTCAACACGATCTGAGTCTGTGGCTACCGTTTCCAGCACCGAGTCAATAACGGGTCCGTCTGAAAAATGTTCAAGCACGTTTTCTTCATGAGCATACTGTTCCAAATCCAGTAGTAGCCAAATACAACTGCAAACAATTAGATACCATTCTTCATAAAATTGAACCGGGAAGCAATGGAGTTGCTCAGAGACCGAAGATCTCAAAATTCAAGCACAACTATTTTACCTCCTTCTGTACTTCACCTCGTGGCGATTGTCTGCCGTCGCTTTTCAACAAGACTCGAGCGGGTCTTGCTATTGGTCTTCATCTGAACATGAGTAATCATTCTGCGAACATTTGCAACGTGAGGCATTCGGAATAACTTAAAATTGTATGAAATTTTTCCCTATCCGAATTCGCATGGCGGAGTGTGTAGTGACAAGTGGGGCGCTCACATTCGCGCGGCCGGGTCCCGGGTTCGAATCCCGGCGTCGCATCCGCCCAGGCCAACAAGTTGCCTTCTACCCCCGAGGACAGAATGGGAATTCGTACCAGATTCTCGGCACTAGAGATTAAAACACTGACTTGTACATCGGCTGGCCACCGCAAGTCATTGTATAGGCCACATCGCATTCAATAAGCCCACTACGATTCTGAATGGAAGTAGAATGCGTGCCGCATCCCACAAAGGGATTGATCAACGGCGAAGACTTTATCCTTTATCCTTTTATGTGAATTCGAAGAAGGTG